GTCGGACTTGATGATCTGCTCAGGTCCCTTCCAACTCTATTAACTATGAAACTAGGATAAGCACTCCTGTCACTGACATCTCTGCTCCACTCTCTTCCAAATCTCCACGACTCCTACACTGGGCTGCTGGACAAAAGGACATGCGCACTGCAACAGTCCTCTGCAGAGCCAAATTTGTTTGTTTTTATTGGCATCTACCAAACTGACAGCAACTAGGGAGAGCCACCATGTAACATTTCAAAGAATCTCAGCTGTCATTTATCCTCCATTGCACTGGCAGCAAGTCCAGTTTCACAATGCCTCACATTTCACAACACACTTGCCCTACAATTCTGTTACTGGTACTCATGTTAAAAATGAACCCCAGAACTCAGGAAGGGACAACAACCCTTCTGTTTCAGGGTCACAGGTATCATAGCATCACTCTCACTGGCTACAGGTTTTGGCAGCATGCAGGGCACATTAGAAATCAGTGGGTTCAGAGAGGCCTCAGCTTTTGTGGGCAACAACCTACAAAACCTGTGACCACCTGACAAAATAGGTTGTTGCCTACAAAAGCCTGTGGTTCTCCAAACCCATTGGTCTCCAAGGTGCCATCCTACTCTGCCTTCCTGATTGCAGCCAAACACAGATAACGCCCCTCTCTGCTAAAGTCTTTGAGTAACCTCAATCTGAGATTTAAAGTGTTTTAACCAAAGCTGTTTGAGATTCAAAACCTGGGAAAAATCAGGAACTATTTTTGGTGTCTTTTACAGTCCCTGCACTGTATTCTGCCTCATTTGAGTTTTGAACACTGACAACTGGGTGATCCCTGTTCCAGACTGTTAGGAATATTACCTGAGAAATGCTAACAAGTGCTCAACAGAACCTCTGAAACAAAAATACTTCCTCTAAATTTATATCCCTAGATTTCAACATCTCAGAGATCTTTCAACTAGACTTTGATTACTACAGATCAGAAGTCCTATCTTCTGAAACAATGCCAAGTCTTGTAATCCCAAATAAGTTTGAGACCTAAGAGAGGACGTACGGCCTATATATTTCTGCCTGCAGAATTGGAGTGTAACGTGTACTCCAGTGATTCTGTTTTTGCTCATGACATACATGTTTTCTGCTTTATATATGAAATTATCTTGGTCTTTGGTAAAAACCTCGTCTCTCGTTTTTTTTCTTTTAAAGAAATGACCATCTCCATGCCTCCAAAATGACTGCATAGATGCAAACACATATAACACTTGAACCACTCCAAAACACTTTACTGATCGGGAACAAGTTTACAACGTTCCCTGGACAGAAGCATCCGTGTACACTGCTAAGGGCTCTAAACAGAGCTGTCACCATTTAGAGATTTAACCGCTGCCTTTCAGGGGTCAGTGCCTAGTTTCCCCAGGATTTTCCCCTGGAGGAAGAGGAAGACCTGGACTGGCTGGACACTAAGAAAGAAGCTGCTACCACTGCCTGCAATTGCAATACTATGCTCCCTCTTCTTAAAACCACTGAGCTAAAAAAAAAAGATTGATTCAGTTTAATAAGAAATCACTGTTACACTTTACCAAAATCTATATGGCTGCCTGGTGTTGCACAAGCATGTAAAACGAACAACCTGGATCCCATCGCAGGAAACAGACCTCACTCAAGGGGCTCCCAGACTCATTTGGGGAAGGAAGAAGGTGGGTGGGGGAAGGTACTGGGGGGGCTATATGACCCCCTGCTTGCAGTGGATGAGGTGCCTTAACAGTAAACACTTGTCAATTCCTGGGTGGGAAACAGTAACTAGGAAATGTGTGTATGGGGAAACAAGAGCCATTGCACAACAGGCACTTAACAGACCTGCTGGTCTGTCAATGCCACACTAAACAGGAAGTGAATTAGTCCATTAACTGTTAAATGTCCCTCCCTCTCTGTGCTCCATTTGCACTCATCCCTGGGACCCAGAGAAGGGAGGGGAAACTGAAAAAACACTTTCCAATGCAGGCAAAAGCCCCCAAGTTCTTGGAGGATCCCATGTGCACCCAAGAACCACGAGCAGGGGCCACACAACATCCCCCAGCACCTGGCTACCCACCCCGTGCCCCAGGTCGCTAGCACAGAGGCTTCCTGCTTCTCTACCCCTGAGAACTGATTTCTGTAGACAGATCTCTGGGCACTTCTGTTGCCTTGTGTGTGTTTGGGGGTAGGGGGTGAGGAGCAGTGCAGTCTGAAGTGACCAAACCCAGACACGGGATGGCATGGGAGACATGGGATGCCCGGTGTCTGCAAATAACACTGAACTGGCTCACTCAGGGCCGACTCGAGATAGTACTTGATTTCCCCAGTGTGCTTTTGAAACTTTCCAGGAAGTTTAAACCATTCTGAAGTGGTGCACATGTCCACACTGTTAGGGTTTCATGTATATTTAGAACACTGTTACATCTGTCCACATCCTATGTCAACTTCACTGTAGAAAGAACAGGTTTATACAACAGATAGAGAGGTCTGAAGGTAATGAAACAATTATAAATGAGTAATTCAGAATAAAAACAACTGCAATTTCTTCTACCTGCTGTACCAAGTTCCCTCTGACCAAATATGAATAAAATCTGCCTGAAAAAGGTACATCTCTGTTGCCCCTCCACCCTCAGCACCACCATCCATCCGAAAGCAGCCAAGGACACCCTTTGTATTAATCATTCAGCAATACAAGGTTCTTTCCCTACCCTTAGATACCTACCACAGCCTCTGCATTATCTTCAAGGTCATAGTGTGTGGAATAAGAGACCAGGACCAGGAATACATCTCTCACTGGGTAGGCAAACAGCACTTACATATCTGTAGCTATTTTATTAAAACAACTTCTTGTTGACCTATTTTAAACAACCACAAGCACATAAACCTAGGCAGCGAAGGTATTAAAGACTGCCAAACCTATTAATGCCCAATTAATTCTTCTGAAGGTAGCCTACTAAGAAAGCCATCATTTCAAATGAATACAGCACAACTATCCTTAAGCAGACAGCACTGATATACTACTACATTAGGGTTACAAATTCATTAACAAGCGAGCAGCTGCACTGTAAGTAAGGGGGATTCTCCATGAAAGTTTCTGCAGATACCAAAAAGCAGGAGACGCAAACAAATTTAGCCTTGAAAAATAGCTCACAAAGATAAAGTGTTCATTTTATGGGACAGTGTATTTTCTCTCTAGATCATGACTGAAGTTACTGAGAAGCCAACACGTGAAACAGCTAAACACCACAACTGGCATATTACATTGGTTGACACTATGGCTGGTCCCTTCACCTTTATACGTCTCCATTGTTTCAAGTTATAGAGAAGTGCAAGCAGGGAAAACGTAGAACTGGACTGAAACATTTTTGTAACGAGCATGGTGATGACTTACCCCTATTAAAGTGTTCACGAATCCTGCTAAGTCATAAGCCAATTTGATCATGACATCAATGCTGAACTTGGAAATCTGACTCAGAATTTCAAAGGTCCCAAACCTAGAGGTGTTTGAACCAATCAACCCTGACAACCCTAAACCCAAATCCACACTTCCAGGGGAACAGTCAAACTGCCATACTGGATGAGACAGAAGTTGCACCTCATCCACTGGTCTATCTTCCAACAATGGCAGCATCAAGAAATTCAGAGGAAGGTGCAAGAACCTGATGCAGGATTATTTGGCTCCCCGGCTTTAAATGTCATCTATGCGTCCAAGACTCTATTAGATCATGAAGTTCAATCTCTCTTCCAAGAACTGTCACAATAATCCTGAATAGCGTTACCTGCATAAATAGCCAATCCTTCATTAAATCGTGATATGCTCTTGCCATCAGTGACTTCCCAATGAGCTCCACAGTCTAATTACACCTTCTTGTAAAAAACACGTTACATCTGTTATTTCAAAGGGGAAAATTCAAAATGTCAGAGGCCTCCTTTTTCTTGTCTACTGTGAAATACCTGATCCATCTGAAATTCATTCAAGAAGAATAAACTAAGATGTAAGAAATAATCTTGTTTTTAAATCAGCATGAAAGGCAGGGGGAAGAAACAGAGCCTGTTACAAGGTGTGGCAGATAAAGAAGTTTAGGGCTACGATCTTGGTTCAAGCAAAGTGAAAAACAAACCTCCGCTGATGTGAACTGTCCACAAAATAACTGGAGATGGATGAATGTTACTTGTAGTTGAGCTAGGGGGCCCAGATGTTTACATCATTCAGATTAATAATAAAAATCTCACACGCTTAACAGTAATTCAAAATTACAACAGCCATGTACTCGGGCAAAAAAGCAGCACACTAACATGGAAGAGGCCTGTTACCTTCCTCTTCAGTAAGCAAGCAGCCAAATGCAGAGATAACTCGTACATAGTATCAGCACATCTTGTACCCATTTCAAACAAGTGATTTAAAAAAAATGGATCATCACAAGGAGCATTTTAAAAAGTCCTGAAATTCGCTTTGCTAACCCACCAACAGCACTCGACTCGGGGCGGGGGGGGGGGGCTAAAACTATGTCTGCTGTGACATGAGAAG